TAAACAGAGCTCCAAAATAATATGACAGCTTTGCAGTTGCGTGGCAGGGAAGCCACAGGGAATTAGCATTAGCTTAAGTGTGTTTATATTAGGAGCTTTAAACAAAACGTGAGACAGTTGTGTTTGCTGACATGAGCACATGAAACACAGAAATGGTGCAATTAGCTCCCGAAGAACATCAATTTAGTTTAATCAGACAACAAAAGGACTTAAAGCAGCAATCTGGAGTTTTCTACTTTTATGGAATTACGCACGGTATTTTAGAAACCCGTAAAAGTCATAGTCTTATCGTTTTCTGTGATATAATGTAGACAATAAATCTTCTTTTTTCTCTTGCAGCTAGTCAATCGTGCTAGACATCTGCTTACGTATAGATGTAAATCAGAGCGTGTATTTGCAGATGTACCTAGACTGATGACTGAGTTGGCCACCTTTCTCATGGACAAGTATTTATTATATATATATATATATATATATATATATATATATATATATATATATACACATAGGAATATGAGGATAATAATTGTACACAATGTGTTTTTGCTTTGTTGGCTGCTAGAAGCATGCATTCATGAACGAGAGACGCTGCAATTAGCCGCAATCACGCAAGTATGCAGAGGGGCTTAACCCCGGTTTCACACTGAAAGCATCTGTGGTGCAGAGCGGCAGCGGAACGTCACCGCTTCAAATAGAATCCATTCTAGTCTATGGACCGTTTCAAACCAGCAGCAATGCTGCAATTTTCAGGCGTGTCCCAGAAGTGGCACGCCACGCCGCGCCGCTAAAGATTCCGGTTCTATTTTCGCCACAAGCCGCTTCTGAGATGTAAATGTCCGTAGTTAACATAGGGCTAGACAGTAATCACATACTGTTTCAGTGTCAAATCCCAGGTAATTTTCAAAATAAAAGTACTGCAGCAATGCAATTTCATGTATATGACCTGAAATCTCGAGGGATCTTGGGATCTCGTGAGTCCAGCGAAGACAACAGCGAGGAAGCCGTGTTGTTGCCAAGACTCTCCCGGTGTGAAAAGGACTGCTACAGATTGAATCTACAGATTGAAGTCTGCGAGTAAAGCGGTCCGCTGCCGTTTTACAGGGCTGATGCTTCCAGTGTGAAAACGAGGTAAGATGTGATCCATTTTTTCCATCTCTACCTGACGAGTTTGATGTGTGTATGGTATGTAAAGGTTGTGTCATTAAAACCCTAAAAAGCAGATACCGATATTTTCCGATTTAACATTTTAATGGCAATATTGGGCGATATTAATGGTAGATCATTAATATCGGAAATCTGTATATAATACAGAACAAAAAAAATGCACATTTGTGCAGAGTTTACACCAATAGCACACACACTGATGATGATTGTAGCCACTGGACTATCCAACCACCACCAGCAGGATTGGAGGATGAGGTGTCTGACTCATAGACACAACAACTGACACGAGCAGAGCCTGGGTTCAAGGACCAACTTCTAACCCCTGAGCCACCGTTGCCTCTTCAGAAGTGAAGCAGGCTCTCCTCTTTTCCCTCGGCCATCTTCCTCTAATCGCCCTGAACATTTTCTAGCTTTTGTGACTTCTACCGCCCAAGCTGACACGGAGGTCGTGGCACACAACACACCATGACATCTCTGAAAAACAGCACCAACTGTTAATGCGCTGGTCCCGCTCAGATCTCCCATCTTTAATAATCGCTTGCCTCCTCCAGCGAGCACTTCTGCTTGTGGAGGTCACCACTTCAGAAACAAAGTGGTAGTAAAGACAGAGGATGGAAGGACGAAGTTTACTAACAAATACACCAAAGCCCTACAGTTGGCATTTAACGAACGTATATCAGCATGTTAGATATTTTTACTGAGATCGCTTTGATCCTGAAAAGATCTCAAAAGTAAAATGCGTAATCTAAAGCAGTATTGTAAGATCTTGAGCATTCTCATAGCAATCAAAGTATGTGTTGTGAATAGCTCTTAACTACCACCACATCAAACGTTAGCTCTAAATCTATTATTTTGTTACCATTAGGGTTTGGTAATGTCAGTTCACCGTAGCAACCATTGATGCCTTCAGTTAATCTGTAGCAGATAGCTACAATGAAAGCTTTGAGAGAATTTTATTAAAATTCATCCAGTGCTCCACGAGATTTTAAACTAACAGAAAAACAGGGTGGAGTCAGAGAGTTTATGCTAAAATTTTAAGACCAAGTCACCCCCAAATCAACTTTTTTTTTGCTGACAACCTACATAAATGAGTGTCTAATCGAGCTGTAGACACAATAATTTAGCACTTTAGTGCACCTTAGTTAAAATTTTAATATTCTGCCTAAAATTGTCGGTGCTGAGCCGTCTTCAGGTAAAAACTCTGAACTGCATTTGAATTTAAATCTGCCGTTGCTACTGGCTAAGAGGTGCACTATGATGTTAGCTGGTACATTATGATGTCACAATGTTGTTGTGAGCCTGTGTGTGTGTGTGTATTAGTTAGCAGCTCTGCCCTCTCAGTCTGCCAGGGAACAGCATTTGTTGCATTTATCAAACAGGAAGTGGGAGCGAGGTGACTTCCTGTTCCAGCACCATGGGAGTTCCATACCATTTCAGGAGTTGTTGTCTCTAAGGACTCGAGCATTGGCTGTTTTTAACCTGTACGTTTTATGTCGGGAAAGATTTCCTCAAGCACTTCCAAATGAAGACTTCTCTTCAAAGTAAACTAATTGTTCATAACAGCTGAAAAATATCTCAAACAAGACAAAATAAAAAGTACCGGTACTTCATTTTCAGTTCGTGTGTAAACAGAGATTTGTTTTAAAGAAAAAAAAAAGTGTCCGAAGTAACCATTGCAGAAGAAGCCAAATGAGATCTCACACAGATTTGTAATCTTGCAGTCTACAAACAGCAGTGATGAGACAGAAAGAGAACATTTATGGGAAGGCCAAGCTGTAATTATCTCAGAGTGTTGGATCAGGTCCTTTTGGACTCACTGATCACTTTATCCCTCCTCTCTTCCCACTTGCCATCACGCTGCTTTGACTGTGTGCCGCAACAGAAAAGCGTTTAGCAGCCGTTCTGTTGTAAACATCTGTCATGGTGATGTTTTCCTGAAGAGAAATACAAGATCTGCCATATTTGCACAAAATGTGAAACAGCAAATGTAACTTTAACAAAACAAGTTCTTTGTTGTTTTAGGAATTAAACAGATTTTTTTCCAAAAAAAAAGCTCAATGAAAACAGACTAAAACCATCTGATAACATTTTCATTCACTTGTTATTTTAATATATCTGCAGTGGTCACTAATTTGAATCGATGCCTAGTGAGTTGTTCTCCGTGAGGGAAAAAAAGCTCAGGCGCTCCTCTTTCAGGAAGTAGAAGTTAGCGGGAGGTGCGGGTGACAGAAAACAGCAGGAGTTTTAAATATTATTTAGGATATTTGGACATCTCACCTCTGATTGGCTAACAGCAACATAACTACCACTGACCCACTGATGTTTTATCTCCACAAATAACACAAAGACTGAAGGAGCTCTGCCGTGTGGTGGAGTTGCTAATGCTAACGTTAGCTTCTAGTAGCGGAGACGTTCACGTTCTCGTCCCGAGCAAAGATGGATGAAGGTTAGTTTTCAATGTGACAGCTCTGTGTGGCGTTTTCTGACCCAGACACCGGTTTTCTATCAGCAGCTAATGCAGGAAACAAGGGTAGAAGACAATAAATGATCAAAAATAACAAGTAAAAACATTTCTTCTGTGAAGTCAGTAAAGTCCAGTTAATCCTATTGTTTCTGTTAAAAAGCCTAAAGAACAAAGAAAAAACTCACAAGCATAGTGCTTCAAGTTTTTTGAAAAATGCTTCCTTGTGCAGTTTTATACAATTAAGCATCAGCCTTGGCTCCAAATCTCCCGTACGGTCACAAATATGCAAATTTGAAACTTTCAGAAAGACTGAAGAGAAGCAGAACAAAAATGTGACTAAATCTGAAAGTTGTGAGCATCTGGAGCGAGATGATCTGGTCTGGAATAGAAGTTTTTAGAGAAACAATAAAGACATTTAAAAAAAAATCTGAACACTATTGATCCTAACTGGTGCACTATAGAACAATTATGTCTAGTCACATATGTCCCATTTACACGGTTATGATTTTCAATGCAGAAGCTGCTATTTGGGTTTAGGGGTCAGCAGAAAGTTCAAATCCAATAATGCCATCCCAACATCCCAAGGCTTCAAACACAAAAGCAGTCACACACACATACAAATAAACTAAAGCTGCAGAGGAACACGGGCTTTAGAACAACAACAAGGTCAGACAAACACTCCGCATGGCTGCAATGACATTTTTACATAACTGTTTTTTATTAAATGAAAGAGAAAAACAAAATATTGATGCAAAGTTACAAATATTCACAGGACTTTAAACACATCTAATGTGATCTTCATATATGGAAAAAAAAATCAACGTTAAAATGTTGTTTTGAACATTTGAACGTATTTACCATGATTTAATTAAGCATTTCCACCTGTGGTTTTATGGTTTAGCTTTATTATTCCAGCTTTCTCCTTCAGGCATCTGTTCAGCTAAACTAAACCCGACTTGTTTATGCTTGACTCTCAATTTGTTTTCTAATGATTGAATTTTTTTGGTTTCCTTTGCACAATTTTGTTTCCTTCGCTTCCGTTTTTCCGGACCGAGATGCAACGACGATGCGCGTGCAGAACATCGCATTTAGAGGCGCTTTGCGTGGAAATGGACGAGAACAAAAGGGAGAAGCTGGACAAGTGGTTTAGTTTCATACCTTGCTTCCTACCTGCACAAATCTAAAATAAAAACCATTTCCCCCTTGGTTACAGGCCACAGTTAGATGATGAGAGATGACATTTTAAAGTTTCCACTTCTCCCATTTGAAGGCGGAGAACTTGAATCCAGAAGACGAAACTTGCTGCATAAAAAATGTGTCGCTCCAAAGATTTCACCTGGTTTGCCTCCTGCTTCCCCGCTGAGCATCTTACCTTCTGAGATCTCGTTATTCTCCCGTGTGACATCACCACTTTGTCTTGTCTGGGATTGTGTCGTCTCGACGTTTGATCGCTGGGCTGGAAGGGAATGCATAATGCAGAAGTCTATGTTAATGAGCAGCAGGGAAGAGGAGACGAGAAACATGAAAAGGAAAATGTAATCCTTGTAAATCAGTAGGACTCAAATTAACGCATTAAAAAATGAAATGAACCTGTTATGAACGCAATAACGGTTTTTAATACAGAGATTAGATGGATTATAATTAGAAATGAAAAAAAATGCTAGTACGATCAGAATTGGCCAGTAGTCAACAAAATTTGTCTAATATTAGACATCCCCTGTATCGATAATTGGCTCTCAAAGGCACGATCAGTGCATCCCTGATTATGACTAAAAGTTGATTCACTAACATTATCTTACAATGACTACATTACTAGAAATGTTCGATTACACCAAAAAGCCAATAAAAATTGTTAAGGTTGTTTCAAGGCTTTAATTTCATTTGAAAGGTGTTGTTTATTCAATACATTTGAAGTCGTCTCTGCTGGGAATGAATGCCTTGTAAGTCATACTAAAAAGCCCAGAAGGCCCTGTATCCGCACGGAGGAGTCCACGGTGGAGAGAGTAGAAAAGCACAGCGGGTTTTGGACTCATTTCCTGATATCTGGACATCTCTCCTCTGACTGGATGACAACAACATGACTCACAAATCTCCACAAATAACACAAGTCTGGAGGAGTTTGGCTGTGTGGTGGAGTTGCTAATGCTAATGGTTAGCTTCTACTAGTCGAGACGTTCTCTGCCGTTTGCTGGACGCTAAAACAACAACAGTCTTCCCCTGTCACAAGTCCAGATGGGTGAGTCCATGAATGCTCAGTGACAGTGTGATGTAGATTGCCAGGCTTTTCTAAACCTAGAGTTTCTTTGTCTGTTTTCTATCAGAAGCTAATGTAGGACATAGGTGTAAGAGACTATTTTCATGTTCAACCTGCATGAAATCTCAGAGTGACCGATTATAATCAGAAATCATTTAACTCATTAACTGCCATTGATGACTAAATTTGCCATTTCCATGTTTTTTACTGTGTGGGCGTTGGATCGAGGTCTCACACCGTGAGAACCAACATCTCAGCTCTAAAGCTGATCTTCATCCACATACGTCACACGTCACGTGATCAGGAAGCAGAAAATCCGTGTGTTAGGAGATCGTTTGGGCCGCTGCTTTAAATTACATTTAACAGAGAACACATGCCTCGGTAGTACATGAACATTGGAATACATCTTGGCGGCTCCTGATGACGTATCTCCAAGGCAACCGGGGCAGGGCCAAGACATCAAGGCGAGGTTCCTTGGCACTGAGAAACACCGACAGTGCTTCTCAATGCCAAGTGAAATGCTTGTCAGCCACTATATGGTGCCATCGGATAAGAAAAATAATCTGGGAAGAGACTTTAAAGTGACAGTGTGTATTTTCTCTGGTGATAGGGGGTAGTACATACCCAAATTATTGCAAGCAAGCAGTATTTTTGTGTTCAAATAAGACATTATCAACGGATGGCCCATAGGGTCAAAAATCCCTGGGATTGCAACCGCCAGTAAAATGACAAGCACATCAGATTCCCTTTCATCACTGACAACAAGCGAAGAGGTAAATGTGTTAAACAACAACGTTTATTATTGGTGAAAGTTTTGTAACCATTTGTTACAAATCAGTAAATGTGTTTTGTCCTCATGGGCTTCCGTAGAAGGAAATATGGCATCCAATATGGCGTGGCCCAGAGACTAAGTGTGTTTCTCATTGCGAAGAAACTTTGCCTTGATGTCTTGGTCCCTCCCGGTTGCCTAGTAGATATATCATCAGGAACCGCCAAGACGTGTTCCATTGTTCATGTTCTACTGAGGCGTGTGTTCTCCGTTTGTTAGCATGGGAGGTGTCTTGTAGCCTAGACTTGGTCAAAAATTTCCCAGAATACACAGCAGTATTTTCAAAAGGATGGTGGATCAGAAGCCGGCAGCTACTTCAGGGGCAAATTTCAAGTTTAAAAGTAAGTTAAGTTTTTTTTAAAAGTTTTTTTAGATCCAAAGCAGTTATTTTATTGAACTGTTTCTCTCTTTTTTTCTTCTTTGCGTTTTATTGTTGTTTTAATGTATTTTCTGAAGTAATTTCTGTCAAGTGACCTTGGGTGTTCTGAAAGGCGCTTTTAAATAAAATGTATTATTATTATTATTATTATTATTATTATTATTATTATTATTAGTTGCAGCTTTGGTGGCTAGCGGGTGGTAGCTCAATTAAATATTTAATGTAACAAATATATACACAATTTAAAAAGTAAAAGCCTCGTTATATATTTATATTAAAACTTATAAAATATAACGTTGTCTCCAGTGTCACGTGATGTAACGTGACCGCTGTGGAAGCCGCTTCACGTGATGCAAGTCTGTTCCATTTAACCGTTTTCTTTGACCAAGGAAGGACAGTGTCCTCGTAAGCAAGGCGCCTAGCCTCGCAAGACATCGCCTCACGATGCCAGACGCGCGGACATTGAGAAACAGCCTTATACCCGCTCCAATGTATTATAAAGCTGATTTTTATAGTTACATGTTAAGAAGCTGCCAATATTTTCAACAACTGGGCATCATTTCAATCATTTTCAACAACACCTCGATGGATATTTCCAGTGATTAACAAAAAAACTACACATTGTCCCTTTAATAAGCAGTCATGTGAATTTTGAAACAGATCTAAAGTAGTCAAAAGTGAGTTTAAGCTAAAACCCTCTGCTACCTTATTTTAATTGTCTTTCGTGACTCATAAGGTTTGCATGTTGTTTATTTTTAATATTTTAATAATGAAAAACAAGCTAAGTAAATTACAGATAACACAGAATCACACATGAGAATGGTTAAAACCGTTTTTAGGTCAAAAACCACTTCAGCACAAAAACATTTTAAAGCGATGATGAGCAAACATCTGATCACCTTTCATCATAAATTAAAGTTGTTTTTTTATTAACCCTAACTCGTCTTCCTCCTGAGTCAGATGCAACATCACGGCTGAATGAAGCACTGGCCGTGTTCGAGATGAGCCAGTTCTGCGCAGATTAGATCACTGGTGATCGGCGAGCAGTGCATGCCGGTTAGATTTGTGTCCGACTTGACGCCGACTTGCTCTGATGTCATGCATACGTAGGAAACGATAACCTCGTGAGATCAAGGTGGCCGTAGATTTTGGAGCAAGGCACGGCAGTTGCTCTCCACCGGCTGCAAAACATACGCCATGAGAGAAAACTCCTGGCTCACACCTGATCCAAGTTCTGATTGGTTCACATTTTGATCCAAACACCCGGTGGTTGAATGCAAAATGTTAGTTGGTCACATGTATTCTGTAAATCATGTTATGTTGATGATGACAACTATGTAGGCCATAAAGAGAAAGTTGATTTGTGTTATTTTGTCACGTTTCCTATGAGCACAATGAACCTACAGCTGATAACCTGTACTTATTATTACAGTCATGCCTATATATACAATGTACGATATCCACAAGCACGTGAGGATGAGTTTCGGTTGCAAACAGACTCCAGAATTAAAATAAAATTTAAACAAGTGTGAACGCTAACGCGATATCTTGATCCATCATCACCCGCAAGAAGAAGAAGAAGAAAGTATCATTTCTATAGCGCCTCTCAAGATAAAAATCACGAGGCGCTTCACAAAAACAAAAAAATGTTAATATAAAAAAGCATTTAGAAAATGTTTAAAAATATATTTAAAATGAGCAAAAATAGGCAATTGTGATTTAAAAGAAAAAATGTTAAGAAAGAGAGAGAGTGAATAGGAAAGAGGGAAATCAGTGGATCCTGAGGAAGGTGGAATAGGTGGGGAGAGCAGAATAAAGAGAGAGTGGTGGAGAAGGTCATACAAAAGCCAGCTTGAACAAGTGAGTCTTCAGCTGCTTTTTAAAGGAGACCACTGAGTCCACTGATCTCAGGCTCAGGGGGAGAGAGGTCCAGAGTCTGGGGGCCACAGCAGCAAATGATCTGTCACCTTTGACCTTTAGCCTGGTGCGCTGCACAACCAGTAGGCTTTTATCACTGGACCTCAGGGACCTGCTGGGGGTGTAGGGACTAAGAAGATCACCAATGTAAGATGGCGCTTGTCTATGTAAGGCCCTATAGACCAGAACCAGGATCTTGAAATGAACCCTGAAGTTGACTGGCAGCCAGTGAAGCTGGAGGAGAAGCGGGGTGATGTGGGTGTGTTTGGAGGACTTGGTCAGAAGCCGAGCACAGGCATTCTGAACCACCTGTAGACGGTTCAGGGAGGTTCTGCTCAGACACGTGAAAAGAGAGTTACAGTAGTCTAAGCGTGAGGAGATGAAGGTGTGGAGCACAGTCTCAAGTTCAGAGCGGGACAGAATGGGACTCAGCTTAGTAATGTTCCTGAGATGGAAGAAGGAAGAGCGAACAAGAGAACTGACATGAGAATCCAGGGTGAGAGCTGGGTCAAAGGTCACGCCAAGATGCCTGGCAGAAGGTTTGGTGTGAGAAGCAAGCTGACCAAGAGAGTCTCTGACTTTGGGAACCAGCTTGTCTGGGGCACAGATGAGGATCTCAGTCTAAGCAGCTGTGTAACAGCTGCAGCTTAGACATCTCATGGGGCTTAAAGAGATGTACAGTTGGATGTCATCTGCATAAAGATGGTAGGAGATTCCTTTGAAGGAGCTCAGGATGTGCTGAAGAGGAAGCAGATAGAAGAGGAAGAGCAGAGGCCCCAGCACAGAACCTTGTGGGACACCATGGGTAAGAGAGGTGGTGGAGGACCTAAACTTGGAGACGGCCACAGAAAAGGAGCGCTCAGAAAGATAAGAGGAGAACCACTCCAGAGCAGATCCTGATAGGCCTACCCAGTCTCTCAGCCTCTCCAGTAGCAGGTGATGGTCAACAGTGTCAAAGGCTGCAGTCAGGTCCAGCAGGACCAGAACAGAACAGTCCCCTGCATCACTGTGAGTCAGAAGGTCATTAGAGACCCTAAGAAGAGCTGTTTCAGTAGAATGAGCTCTATGAAAACCTGA